GCGGTCCTACTTTGTACGGTAGGCCAAGATACCCGATGCGGGCCGACTGTAAGCCGTAGGCACGGAGGCTCGGGAAGAGCGGTAGGGTTGAGGCGGTAGGCCAATAAACCCTTGGTATTCCAGCCCGATGGCTGATTGGACCTGTTGTATATTGGCATTCCAACCTGGGGCATTCCATCTTGAGGATGACTAGACCCAGAGGTTGAATGGGCCTGGGGTATTCCAACCCGATGGTTGACTGGACCCGACATGTTTGATTGTATATTTGACCTGTTTATATGGTGGTATTTTTTGGGGAACTCATTAAGCTTTATGTTTACTCGGTTGTTTATGGTTTCAGGTGTCATCGGTTATTGCTGGAAGGCGAAGGCAGGACTGTACACACTCATCAGCAACATTCAAGATTCCACGTTTCTCAATACTCTGATTTTTAATAAATGTAATTCGAAATAAATGGTTTTTTTAATTAATGGATTAATAAATTGGGAAGTTTTTATCTTAATAAAAATAAAAAATTTTGGTTGTGAAAACGGGATATTACACGTTTTCACTTAATGAGCCAAGGGACCAATTTTGCAAATAAATTTCATACTAAGGGTATAAATGGAAAATACCTGGATCAAGATGTTACATCAACAACCTTGGAATCCTTCATTTCCAATTCCATAGTTGCATTATAGCTTCAACTTAAGGATGAAAGTCCATAGATCAACTTGGATCATATTTGTCCACTAGAATAGCCTTATAACTACTTAAAATTATGCATCAATCTTTCTATTGAATGTATCAACAATTCACATGTGAATACATGAGCTAAAACATCATGCTCTTCATGAAATTCCCCAATTCCATTCATAAAACCTAACTTCAACATTTACACATTGAATCATCCACATTAAGAATTCAAGTAACATTCCATAACTTACTTCCTGTGAATAGGGTTCATGGAGTAATCTCCCCATCAACATCCGAATCAACCAATGATTCATGGATTTAGGTTAAGTATCATTGATAGAGCCAATGAATGGGTAGATTACACCATTAGTACTTCACTTTCATCATGACAATTGGATTTGAATCCGAGGGTTTTACCTAAACTTAAATTTCGTAGAATTGGTGGAAGAATTCTTACCTCAAATAGCTAAACACTCATTTTTAAGCTTGAATCCTTCCTTCAACACTTCAAGTTCACCTTAATTTCATCAATGGCATGAACTTCTCTTTTATCTCAAAAATCATCCATGTAAGAATGAGAGGGAAGTTGGGGGGCTTTTCCCAACTTAAACTTTGCACATTATACTTTGGTCTCTCCTTCCTATGATTTTTCCATTAAATCCCCCCATCTAACTTCTTAACTTATGGAATATTGTAAGTTAGTCCTCTCCCACCACTTTACTTACCTTTAGGGTATTGGTCAACAAATTATGAGTCAAAGCATCTTTCACCAATTTTACAATGTTAGTCATTTTTCTAAAAATATTTACATCTTAACTTTTGAACTTATTTTTATTCTCCATATTTTATTTCCATATTCTAAATTATTATTTGTTTAGAATTTAATTATTTACTCTTCATTTTTATTATTTAACTATTTTTGATCTAATTTATTTGTGATCGTTAAAAAAAAACATTTTTTCCTCAAAAATTCTAACCCTAAAACTAAGATGTTACAATTACTAATGACAATCATTATTTAAGTGCATGAAAATTTGCGAAACACATACACAATGTAAACCTCTCAAAACTTAAAATAAGAACTAAATATTTGCTGACAAAAGAATTTCAAAGGCAAATACATTGTTAATACAAACACATGTTACATGTAGTATTTACAAGTTATTAAAAGGTTCAAAGTACAATAATATATAAGGATCTTGTGCTCATAGATAATCAACTCAACTCAAGTGTAGATTAGTCCACCAATAAGTCCTCTCACTGAGAATGGATCAATGGATCAATGGTCACATACACAAATACAATTCAATAAATTATAGGGTTTAGGTCGTTTTTAGTCACTAAACTTTTCTGACTGTGCTATTTTGGTCATTATACTTTATATAAGCTCTAAACGGTCATTGAACTTTATATTTTTTTTCGTTATGGTCACCGTAACCGGTAACAGCCCAAAACTTGATGACGTGGTTAATTTTGTTCCAAATTGGCATAACATGTCATCATCCTAGCTGGCATTACATGTCAACATCAAATTAGGGCATTCTATTATAAAGATATGAAGATCGACGCTCAAATATCCTCTCAAATCTACCTCCCCATGTGTGCATCTTCTTCTAAGAGCTCCAATCTGGGGGATCGATACTCCTCCAAGGAAGGAGGGACGTGTTCTTGTAGGAAGCAATCAAAAAGACGAACAAGCTAGACCAAAGAAAATCCAGGTAGGAGATTTGATGTTTGCCCTAATTCTTTGGTAAGTGTTTAGAATCTGAATTGTTGTTCTCATGTAAGTGTTTAAAATTTGTGCTTATTTCTTTCCATGTATTTTTTTTTAATTTCTAAACGTCAGAGCCAAGCTGCAAATTTTTTGAGTGGGGTGACGATGCTCCAGTGTCGTTCGTTTAGGGGTGACGATGTCGTTCGTTTGATCCCCCACTATGCTACTCAAGTGTTCGATTCCAGTGTTCGATCCCTCCTTGATGCTCCGGTGTTCAATTCCGCCTAGTGTGCGAAGACAATGAAGATTTAGGATTTAAGTTTAAGAAAACCCTAAACGACGTCTTCTTGGTAAGTCAACATCCACGTACACATCAACCGGCTGTTACCGGTTACGGTGACCACAATGAAAACAAACATTAAGTTCAATGACTAATTAGAACTTAAGTAAAGTATAATGACCAAAATGACACAGTAAAAAAAGTTTAATGATCAAAAACGACCTAACCCCTAAATTATAAGTTTTAATATCATGTTATGTACAACTATTTTATTTCTTAAACTAGTTGTGAGACTCATATATTACATGAGTTAATTTAAATAAAAAGTTAATTATAAAAGTCAAAATATTTGAGAACTTTGAATTTATAAGAAATAAGAAAAATAATGAATTATTATAATATAAATGTTTTTTATCTTTTAAATTTAAATAAATAAGAAGAAACTAATGAGTTTAAATTTTAAAATTTTTGAAATTAAAAGGTAAGTTCATTAATGAAATTGATATTTATTTATTACTACATTTATTGTAATTATTAAATTAAATTATTATATGAAATTTAATAAAATAGAAAAAGTCATAGAATAACATGTGTAAAAAATTAATTCAAAATAACCACAAAATGACATTTGACAAATTAAATGAGAATGTGACAAGTGGCAAAAAAACCTTCATTTATTAAAAAGGATACTCTTTAAGATCTTAACAGCAAAGTATAGAAAGAAACCACATGCCCATTTACGATTGCGTTTACAATTTTACCGGTCTTTGGAACTTTCATAATTCAAATTCGATGATATTTGGGATGATTAAACAAAACAAAAAAAAAGATTTTTTTTGATGAAATTGTCGCTTCTTTTTTCTTTTAGCTAGTGAATAAAAAATATACTAATTAATAAGAAATGAACGGTATGTTAAACACTTAAATATGATGTTAACAATATAGTCCATTTTTTTTTAGAAAATTATGAATATAACCTAATTCCTTAATTATTTTGTGGAAAATAGACAAAATAAACTCAAATTACAAAAATAACCATCAAAATCGTAGATGGACTCAGACTCAGTCCATCTGTGATTTACTTGTTCATCTGCGAACGTATAAGTCGCTAAAACACATATGTGCTTTAGCGACTTGTACGTTCGCAGATGGACTCAGTCCATCTAGTGATTTTGCGTCCATCTGTGATTTTCCCATTTTTCAGGGGTATAAAAACGTAATTTTTTTCTTTCATTTTTCAAACTTTTTTTAGAACTCTTTCTTTGGAGGCGCTATGAACGATTTCATTTTTGAAACTTTTTGTTGGAGAATTCATTTTATTAGAAATGTTTTAAACAAAATTTTCAAAAAAATAACAACTAAATTGATAAGTTTTTTTGCCAAACTTTATATATAATAAAGTTTAAACCCTATCAATTTTATAGTCAAAATTAAAAAAAATGAAAAAAGAAACGCAAAATCGTAGATGAGATGAGAGTAAATCGCAGATGAACTTAGTTCATGTGTGATATTCAGAACTTAGTTCATGTGCGATAGTCGGAGATATTTATATTGAAAAAGTAAGAAAAACACTTTGTGAACGTAACGGGCGTTAAAACACAACTGTGCTTTAACAATTTGTACGTTCGTAGATAGAATGTTATGATTTTCATCACTATATTTGTAATTTAGGTTTTTTTATTATTTCCACAAAATAATTAAATGATTCCGCTATATTTGCAATTATTATTATTATTATTATTGTGAACTAGAAAGGTTACCCCCGCTACGCGGGGGCCAGAAGCTTTCAATGTTGTTTCCGAATTGATAAATATGACAGACATAAAAAATGCAAGGATGAAAAGTCCGGGCTTTGCTCCGGACAAAAAATGTAAAAGTTTTGACTGCAAGGACTAGAAGTGTGAAAATGGCTAAAGAATTAAAGGGGTAGGAATTAGCAACTTTTTAGAAAATGGATCAAAGTTGTCAAACCGTTAAAGTTTTGTGGCCAAACTTTAAATATTAAAAGGTTCCAAAAAAATGTAAAAATATTGATTGCAAGGACCAAAAGTGTCAAAATGGGTAAAGAATAATGAGCAAAGTTGTCAAAAAAACATCTAAATTTAGTATTCCTAACTTCCAATAATAATACGGACCAATTCTGCCAAAAAAATGGAAAGTTGAATTGAACACAAACAAAAGACATAAATAAATTAATTAAAGAAGTACAGGAACCGGATATATAAATCAAGGGACCAAACTTGGACAAAATATCTCAAGTTTACTATTCCTTTCCTCCACATCTTTAATATATATATAATAATAATACGATAACGACGACGACTAGGTTAACACTTTCATTTTCATCACTCGATAATCGATATAAAGTAAAAACACGGATCTGAAACTGAATAGGACCCACCCATCTCCCTCTCCCCCCTTTTCCCACCGTCACGATCACACCCATTCGCCAGCCCCTGGCCAGCCATTCTCCACTAAAGTACTTTTCTACAAACTCGTATCTTCTATGCTTATGTGATTCAGATCCAGATACACGACAATGGCTATCTCCGGAGGCTTTCGGAGTTCTCGCACTACACTTTCCGAACGGAATAATGGTTTTGCAGGTCCCTCGACTCGACCGCCGGTTGCTGCCGCAGGCTTTACTTTCAAGCTTTTCGCCACCGGTCTCTCGGTTGCCGTATTCTTGTTGTTAGCCGTTTCCTTCCTCTTCACCTCATCATCTGGCGTCGTTTCCTCCGGTCTCGACATTGTAGGTTCTTTTTCTTCTTATTTTACCTTACAGTTATCCAATTGTTGTTGTTTTTTGGTATTTTATTAAATTTGTTAATATGTGTGGTGCTTGTAATTCTAGGGCTTTTCTTCTAATTCGAACGGAGCTGGATCACTTAGGAGGTCTGTGCTCGCGTTAAAATCTAATCCGTTAAAACCTAGATTTGATCAGATCAGAAAGCAAGCAGATGATCACAAGTCGCTCGCTCTCGCTTATGCTGCCTATGCTCGGAAGCTCAAGCTCGAGAACTCTAAGCTCGTTAGGGTTTTCGCTGATCTTTCACGCAGCTACACGGATCTCATGTCGAAACCTGCTTACAGAGCTTTGTTCGACTCTGATGCGGAATCAACAGACGAAGTGGCACTCCGGCAGTTCGAGAAGGAGGTGAAAGAGCGGATTAAGGTAACCAGACAAGTGATTGCCGAAGCCAAAGAGTCGTTTGATAACCAGCTTAAGATTCAAAAGCTGAAAGATACAATTTTCGCAGTGAATGAGCAATTAACCAAAGCGAAAAAACAAGGTGCGTTCTCTAGCTTGATTGCAGCAAAATCAATACCAAAGAGCTTGCATTGTGTTGCTATGAGGTTAATGGAAGAGCGAATTGCACACCCTGAGACGTACTCAGATGAAGGCAAGCCACGTCCTGCAGAGTTCGACGATCCTAAGCTGTATCACTATGCTATATTTTCTGATAACGTTGTTGCTGCCTCTGTTGTGGTCAATTCTGCTGTTAAAAACACAAAAGAACCATGGAAGCATGTTTTCCATGTTGTGACAGATAAAATGAATCTTGGAGCAATGCAGGTTATGTTCAAGATGAAAGAATACAACGGTGCTCATATTGAAATCAAAGCAGTGGAGGACTACACATTTCTGAACTCTTCATACGTTCCAGTCCTAAAGCAGCTTGAATCTGCAAAATTGCAGAGGTTCTACTTCGAGAATAAACTTGAGAATGCAACAAAGGACACAACCAATATGAAGTTCAGGAACCCTAAGTATCTATCAATCTTGAATCATTTGAGGTTCTACCTACCTGAGATGTACCCCACCTTGCACAGGATTTTGTTCTTGGATGATGATATAATTGTTCAAAAAGATCTGACTGGGCTTTGGAAGATAGACATGGATGGAAAGGTGAATGGAGCTGTTGAGACTTGTTTTGGGTCTTTTCATAGGTATTCACAATACATGAACTTCTCTCATCCTTTGATCAAGGAGAAGTTTAATCCCAAGGCATGTGCTTGGGCTTATGGGATGAACTTCTTTGATTTGGATGCTTGGAGGAGAGAAAAATGCACTGAAGAGTACCACTATTGGCAAAATCTGGTAAGATTGTTATATGTTAATATGAGTTATGACTTGAGAATTGAGATCTATGTATCTATTTGGGTATTTATGTTTATTAAAGTGTTAATGGTGGTGTACTGTATTTTGCAGAATGAGAATAGGACATTGTGGAAATTGGGAACACTGCCACCAGGTTTAATAACATTTTACTCAACAACTAAACCATTAGAGAAATCATGGCATGTATTAGGGCTTGGGTATAACCCAAGCATAAGCATGGAAGAGATAGAAAATGCTGCAGTTGTGCATTTCAATGGAAATATGAAACCATGGCTTGACATTGCTATGAACCAGTTTCGCCCACTTTGGACAAAATATGTAGACTATGATATGGAATTTGTCCAAGCTTGCAATTTTGGTCATTAAATCTACTACACCCTTTATCAATACTTACATTCACACGTTAGAGTTGATGATTCCATATGTTCTGTAGTTTAGATTAATGTGGTTCTCAAGTGTTTATAGTGTTCTTAGTTGAATCATGTTGTGATTTAGAATAATTGTGGTTAGAGTTTCTTTATCTAAAGTTCTAAACATATATACACTTTTCTGCTTTATTAGATTAATGACCATATTGTAGCTTCTCTCTGAATGGATGGCATAATTTTTAGTTTTACCCTTTTTTAGTTACTTTCATATTCGTGGTAAAAGATCTGTAAGAGTTTAGATGCATATTTTGGTCAAGCCATTTGACAAGAGTTTAAGCACATCAATATAAATTAGATCCAATCGTACAACATTTATTTGTATAAAACACCATAAATTGTTGACATTCTTTTGCAATCAGCGGACTTGAGGTACAATGTTGAATGTTGTAATAGGATGATATTCCCATAATTGGATATATATTTATATATATTTGAAAATACAATGCTGCAATAAGACCTTAAAGTAGGATGTAATTTCATAGTTGAATGACAACTTGTAAATTGAGAAACTTGCCCAAATGCTCCAATAATGAAATATTATTTGTTACCAAAATATTAATAAATCCATTAAACATTTGTGATTTATTGACAAAAGGGGATAACCATCCTTATATTTATCAAACACATAAAACCCAACAGAATCCAAGAGGTATGGTGGAAAAGAACAATCACTTTGTTTTCATGAAAAAAATGTAATTTTTTTAATACCTATTTGAAAATATGTGTGTAAAACATGATCAGCGTTTATTATTATTATTATTATTATTTAATTTAAGTTTTGACTACTCATAGTGTTTTACTCGAAGTGGCAATGTAATTTAAGTATAATGGTTTAATATAAGAAGAAAATTAAGAAAATAAGAAAAGTAAATGAAAGTAAGATGCTATATTAGACAACAAAATGTGAGTACATTGCTATTTCTTGTATTTTTTTGCCCCATATTGGTCTTAAATGCAAGAAAAAGCAATACCCTTTCATTTTGTCACCACATTATGTTGTCATTTTGGCATATGTGATCTTCAAGCAGGGAGCTAATGTGGTATTTACTCCTGAAGGAATTGTCCCTTAAAACCTTTTGTCACCAGTTTTTCTGCATAAGCATAACAATAAATCACAAAGCAAAATGTCTTTGTATAACAACAAATAAGTGAAACTACAGCTCTTCTGGTAGCGTGATTGTGTATAGTCCGACCTAATCATCTTTTGTATGCACAAAACGCTCGATTAAATGTCTGAAACAGTTGAAAGTGTGTTGATATAATTTGGTGTTTGATCTTTCTATTAGCTCAGGTTCTTACGAAAAATTCAGCACCTAGATGACGATAAAAAATCTGATGAGCGATTGCAAAGCTGTTTGAAGTAACCAGGGATATAATTAACGCTGTAAACGAACTGAACAAAAACGAACAGGGTTTGTTCATGTTCGATCGTTCGTTTAAGTTAGCCAAACAAACGAACAAACATGAACGGATAAACGAATGAGTTTTCTTGATTATGTTCGTTCGTTTAACAAATTACCTGTTCATGTTCGTTCGTTTATTCGTTTATGATCGTGAACATGTTAAACGAACATAAGCGAACAAAGATAAACAAATACAATTGAACATATATGAATATAAACAAACATATAATATAGTGATATAATAAAAAACAATTGAACATATATGAACATAAATAAATTTAAATAAATGAACATAAATGAATGAACGAAATTATTGTTCATGTTCGTTTGTTTAACTAAACAAACGAAACTTTATTTTTCATGATCGTTCATTTATTAAGTAAACGAACTTCCCGCGGAACGGTTTGCGGAACGTTCGGTTTGTTTACACGTTTACAACCCCAAATATAATAACCGAGTGGTGAAGAGGACTACTTGTCCGTTATTGTTGTTGTTCCAAGCAACCATGGGGATACCATACATGACTCTAACCATATCATTTTGTTTAATATCAAAATAAGCCATTAAATCAACGAAATGATGTTATTGTACAAAGGATAAAATACATAAAGATACAAATATATTTTCACCACTTTATTTATAAAACTAGAAAGGTTTCCCGCGCGTTACGCGGGCCGGAAAGTGTTAGTTTTGCGTGTATGTTCATGTGTTTCATACATTACTATTATCTGAAGTACACTGCCTGAATGGTATCCATAGTAAAGTACGTTGCTATTCTGTGTACTTTGCCATGACAAACCTGTCGTTAGTGGCTAGCAAAACAACATCAATAGTTCAATACCACCATGAACTTTCTTAGCATACAATAAAGCAGAAAATAAGAAATGCAACGGTAAATCATGGTAGTAATAAACACATTTTGAAGAATCCAAACAAATCATCTCCTACCAAAAGTTGTTTAAACCATTCAGACATCATCATATCATCATATCATAATACTCAATAACCCAAAAATCCACAACACAAAACCCTTTTCAAATTCAACAAAAGCATTCAGATTTTATAGACTCTCTCTATTCAAAAGCATCATCATCATCATCCGAAAGTGGCTGGCTTGCAGGTACAGCAAATTCTGGCTCATGCCTGCAAAAACCAAGATTCAAAACATATCATTCATCACTCATTCCACACCAAACAAAACTTATACATAAAGAACTTAATAAACAAAAAAATAAACTAAGTGTTACTGTTGTTGAGCAGCAATGTCAATTTCCACTTTTGGTGAAGCAAGGGCAGGAGACTCAACAAAATGCAAGTTGGGGTCCCTAAAAGACAAAAAAAATTAACATCATATTAAGCAAACATTATGTTTCTTTTTAGTTGTTTGTAAAAGACCTCGATGACACTATGTTGACTGTATGAAATAGAAAGAAAAGCAGATAAACCATTTGAATTGCAGATTTTGAAACTTAACGGAGGTGATTGACAACGGAACTTAAAAAAATACCTAAAACTACTAGCGATAACATCACCGTACGACAGCCGCTTCTTGCACACACCATTTATCAATGCTACTTCTAAGCCCCTACCTCGTCTTTCTTCTACTGTGCATATTGAAAACAAAGGAAATTGTATGAAGTTCAAACATCAACCGCTGTTTTCGCCCCTTTAAGACCATCCTATATTCATTCAAATTCTCCATAAGAAACTTCAAAAATAAAAACAATAAAACAGTACATGTAAACTGGCTACATAGAATTATTCAAAGATATTTCTAAGAAAAAAATTATGAAAACAAACAACTTTGTTGATAATATGCTTCATCAGAATACTTCTGATGGATGATAGAATGTCAAAAGCTCAACATATAATCAACATAGTATACCTCTTCGGTACCTATGCTCTTCTTACTCCCCCATAACAGCTTCTTCTTTTGGTCAGTTGGCATGATGCCCATTCCAATCAAGTTTGTCTTCACTAATCAACAAATAATCAAATTGGGCTTCTGCCCAAGTCGGCCACGTACTGGGTCGGCTGTTGTACAGTTAACTTGCCATAGAGAAGATTCACCTGATTGAAGAAATCAACAGCTGGAAATCAAGATTCAAAGACTCATCTGATTGAAGAAATCAACAGCTGAAAATCAAGAATCATAGGTTAAAACTGAAGAAAAATAGGGAAGAAGCCACAACCTTCGACGAATCGACCCTTCACCCCCAATAAAACAACGGTAGACACCTGATCAGATCGAGAAGGAATTGGGTGGCGGAGAAAACCTCGTTACCTTCAAACGGTGGAAGAGAAACGGTTGTCCACTGCATACCGGTCGTCTTGTTCCGATGATAGCTGATGCGGTGAATATCTTGAGTGGTGGTCATGGTGACAACGATGTAGTCTGGGTAGGGTTTCTGAAGCCATTGCAATATGAAAACCCATGATTAATTGATACGTATGAGTAGGCAGAGATGAGAAATCTAACAAACTCTCGTAATTCAATTTATGCATAATTCAGGAGAAATCAAAAAATTCAAACCAATACAACAACTCTTACAGTGAATAATCAGAACGGCAGATGATGGTGGAGGATTCCGATGGTGGCGGTAGATAGACGATTCAATCGTTACACGATGATGTGGCGGTGGGGCGATCGTCAGCTTTGTCTCCATCAGTGTGGTTGATGATGACTTGAGAGAAGAATCGATAATTTGGTCAAAGCGGTGGAGTAGAAACCAGGAAGATAAACCGAGCGGAAGGATCGGGTTGGAAGCCTTCACTTGATTCGAAATCCATAGAACTTCAATAATAATGATGAGACCTAATTTGAACTCTTATTAAATAAATATACTATAGCGGTTAAAACTGAAAAAAAAATCAACAAAAAAACATGTACTTTATAATATAATAATCAAATGTTTGAACCTTTTGGTTGTGGTTGGGCTAATTGGATCCAAGCATCATAATATTAAACTAATATTAAAGGCCCTAAAGTTCTCTTCCTGTTACCACTAATGAAATCCCAATTCCTTCACCTAGTAAAAAAAATACAAAGTCAAACTATAACTTTTTATGGCATCATAGTTTCAAAAATAAACCAATCACACTATTATATTTTGAAAAGTAAACCAAGTATAGTATTGTACTTCCGATTTTTTTTTTTGAAAATACATTGTCTTAATTGAGTAGATCATGCGATTATTTTAGAAAACACTTGAAAGTGCAGTGTTGTAATAGGAATAAATGAAAGTGTGATGAAATATATGGAGTGGTAGATTCCATGAATGATGGAAGGATTCCATCCATTTGGCAACCGAAACTCATCACTAAACGAAATCTGGAACTCCAATTCCGTCACACACCCCCATAATTCGAATTTATTCTAAAAATATAATATAATTTATTTAAAATAAAAATAAAAATGAAAATTCAAATACATGTTGTCCACAAATCTCACATGACATTCATGTCACACAATCTGCAACATCATCTTGAACAAATGTCACAAAATCAAACTCTATGTGAGCATATATGTTTGGATCCTATATAACAAATTGTAAGTATTATAAATAAATTATTTAAAATTCAAGTAATTTACAAATAAGGTCCTAGATTATAGCATAATTTTTTGGTTTTACTCCCTAATAAAATTTCTTATCAATTTTGGTCCTTATTTTGATGTTTCATAGCAACTTAGGTCCTTAATCAAGTTATCATCAAATCCAAATACCCAGGTGTTAGTTTTTTTTTTCTTCTAATTTTACCATCTTAGTAGCAACCAAAATCGTTAAGATAATTCAAAATCACGACTAAATTCGCAAACATTTCTTTTAGAAACCAAAAGCTTTAAAACCATTTGGTTTGTTCAGTTTAAGTGAATCGACTTTTAATGTGCAAACATAACCTAAACCGATTTTTTTTTAATTTGAAATCTCAAAACCCAAAATTAACGATTTGGATTCGATTTCGGTTTATCCATCCTTAGCACACTAACAAATATGTAAATGATATAAGTTTAATAAAAAATTCCAAAATTAGCCGAATAAAATTAAAAATCTTAAATAAGAAGATATGTGTTTAGAAACTTGTCTTGCACCCAAAACTTCTCTTGCTTTTAATAACCCATGTTCTTCGTTTTTGAGATAACATGAACATTGATTTCTAATAACCTACAACAACATTGGAAGTCATCAATAAGTATTACACTCATACACTGTTAAGTTTTAATTTGCTACAATACCCAATAAACTACATTACATCAGTTAAATATAAATCTTTATGAATTAAATACTGTTTTTTCAATAGGTGTAAGTTCTACATTATATTGCCATTTATTTGTAATTACTATCTATTGCCATCAAACACAGGTAGTGTTTTTCATACACCACATGGGGTGTCATTTTCTTTCAATAGTTTTACCAACTACCACAACATGTTCCTCATAGCTTGTAAATACCGGATTTTATAAGGACTTATTTACATCTCTAGAAAATAGGTACATAACTACATGGAACAAATGAAGTAAGATGTGTGATTTGAAAAAGTTTCCTTCCTATTGTATTTTTTATAGACGATGGAATGCACAATGCTTCCTGCCATGCTCTAGAACCAAACACTCACCAGTTATGATTTTTTTTAAATATCATTATTACTATAGGGAATGAAATTGAGAAGTGGTGGAAGCAAACACCCATTTGGCGGCGTACAAATTATGATCCTCTTACAAATAATGTAAGAACTCTTAAGGAACGGTATCCAATTCACACCAACCTCTTCCAAAACCAAGACTGAACATTTCTCCCTTCAAATTTCTTACAAGAAAAACAACAAACACCTTGTGGGCATTAAAAATTTAGTCTATACTTGGTTAAACATAAAAATTTAGGTAAAAGACGACATATTTTGTCTCTTTTCTCTTGTTGTAAACAGATATATAAAGAAATAAAGAAATGAGCATTTGGATTACCTGTCTCATGCTATGAAAATGAAAGGTGTCTTCGTTCTTGGAAGGCGAATATGGGCGAGTCTGTGTGTACATGAGTCCTGTAGGAACGGTTTGGTTTTGCTGACGGTCTGAAAGTTATTCAGACAGAGAGCAATCAAAACCAAAAAAAAAAATACACAAATATACCCATCAGAAGAGAAGTAAATTGTTATATATCTGGTGACCACCAGATCAAATACTGATAAAAAAACTCATACCTTTTGCCGACAGCACACAATAGATTTAGAGCTTTATTCATACACCTCCATCCGATTCATCTTCCCTAAAACATTTTTTTCCCATGAAAGTTTAATGGATTCCATCACAAAGAACTTAACAATTTGTACTAATTTACATCCAAAACAAAAACAAAACGTATTGTAAAGAAATTAAAGTTAAGGGTTTACATGAGAAAACCAATTGAAGCAGCAGACGAAAATTACGACAATCTGGAAACCAAAATAAATCCCAAATGTGAAAAAAGACCTTGAAATCCAAAAGTGAAGCAGAAGCACCGCCAAAAGATCGGCAATTAAACATTAGAAGCACGTCGAGTTGGGAAAACCAATCGATTTGAAAAACCAAAGTGTGAACAATGGGGAAGAAACTCGAATGAAGAAGCGATTTGAAGAAAATCATTGAAGTGGATTTTACCTAAATGAACGGTTCGTCTCCTTCTGGTTATACAAAGGAGCCAGGTATATTCTTAGATACTGATTTCAAATTTTTTAAAGTTTTCGTGTCCCTACTGCAAGCTTACCAAGCCTCAATCCGATTCAATAACATATTTATGATTTTTAAGAAGCGCAAAACCACGCTCAGGCAGAATGAACACCATCAGAACCTAACCATCGCAGCCATCGGGCACTTACAGCTGTAGGATCGTCATGGTTTTCTTCTTGGCCGGTGCAGCAGGAGTCGGTGTTGCACACATCACCTTCAATAATGGATAGGAATCGAAATTCAAAAAGTTTGGTTGAAGCATTCTATCAAACATTTGGTGTGCAGAATGAAAGCTACCTATATAATAACTATTATGAGAAGTGTTTCACTTACATGGGAAGTCAAGGAAGAGGAACATTAACTTTATGTTCCTTCTTCTTCATCCTCAGGTAAGAAGAGTAAAAGCGTCAAAAAGAAAAAAACGAATCTGAAAAAAAACCCTAAAAAGGCGATTTTCAGATGAAATGGAAGTACGAATCGAATTTGAAAAAGCTTGTGAAGAGTCTGCTTGAAAAAGATCCATCGACGGTGGTAGTGATGAAGGTCATGACAAGTTGGGCGGTGGGTTGTCCGGTGGTGCCGATGGGGATGTTCAAACAGGGGTAAGAGGAAGTGGAGGGGGGAGAGGGTAGAAAGTGGTAGCGGTGGTGCATAGTTGATGTTAAGAGAAGGTTTGGATAAGAAGCAGCGGAAGGAAGAAATTGGAAGGTGCGATTAACTTACGGGTGTGGGCATAAATGACCGGGAAACCGGAACTGTTAACGAAGCCGATATTGCAACCAAACCCAAAAACAGGGGCCATTTCTGCCAACTGGTTAGGAACTTTACTGTTCCTAACTTTCATATATATATATATATATATATATATATATATATATATATATATATATATATATATATATATATATAAAAGGGCAAAATGCAAAATAATAATGCATTTGTACGTAAAAAAACCATTATAGTATTTTTTAAAAAAAAAAACACAACCTGTTATTTTACTCTTTAAAATAAAAGAAAATTTCATATATATTCCTACAAACATTTAAAATTACGTATATACCATTTGAAAGTTTATAATTACTTATATATCCTTATTAACCTATTAAACTCTCGTTTATACCTAATCTTATAATCTAATAATGTATAAATCAATTTAATATTAAAAAGTATATTTATAAATAAAAAATACATATAAAATTACCAAAATACCTTTCTAAAATAAAGATTAGATGTACTGATTTGTGTACAGAATTTGAGTTTCATCACTAGCCTATCATGAATTCCAATAATTCACAAAATCCCACTCCACGGATTTTAATATTCAAACCCTCCTGTTTCTTCTCAATTTTAGTCATCGTCATTGTAATTTCAGTCTCATTCATCATCCCCCAAACAAATTATGTAAAAACTCAATACGTAAACCCAACTATCTCTGTAACGCCCCGATTCTCAGGTATTGGTTTAAGTAAGAATTTCTTTGGTTTTAAGTCCTACTCGACGAGTTAAGGGTGCCCTACTCATCGAGTAGCAGCAAGGTGGGATCGCACATTTAGTGACCTACTCGCCGAGTCCATAAAGGGACTCGACGAGTAGGAGCTAGCAGATGAAACCCTAAATTTCGGGGTATTTCACCCTATTTAAAGGATCTTGGCCATCCCCCAGCCTCCCTTTCACTGTTTCTTGCCCCTCTAAAACCCTAATCGTGTGTGAGCTCATTTTGTGCATTCTTAAGCTTGGAGGAGGATCTTCTTGGAGAAAAGAGCTTGGAGATCAAGCATTCAGAAGCAAGGAGCTTGAAGGACCTGAGATCTGTTGTAGTTAGCATCTTCTGGAAGGTATAAATCGTTACCCTAACCTCATTCATTCTAGATCCCCTCTTTGGACAAATTCTAGGGTTTTCATGGTGTGATTGGAAGCTATTCTTCTTTGCAACCTCAGATCTGAAGTTGTAACTTCAAAACTGAGCTCCTTTGGGCTTCTTAGTACATAAAGTTTCCAGCTTGTGCAAGAATGAGACTCTCCCAAGGTGTAAAGCTCCATTGGAAGCATAGATTGGTCATTTAGGGCCTTTAGAACCTTGCATGCACGTAAAGTTTGCAACTTTACGTGATAAGCATGCCCTAGAAGCTTGGATCTGTGATTTGGAGCCGCTGCATGGCTCAAAACAAGTCTGTATGGAAAAAGGACTGAATGGACTCGGCGAGTCACATGAAGATGGCCGAGAACTCGACGAGTTGGAAGAACAACTCGACGAGTCCGATGAAGATTGCCATAAGACTCGACGAGTTGAAGAACAACTCGGCGAGTCGTATGAGTTTTCTCCAGGATATGTATGTGTGTGTATCCGTCGAGTTGCAAGGAGGAAACTCGACGGGTGGCCTTAAAGTTTGATCGAGAATCGAAGGAACTCGATGAGTCACCCCGATGACTCGACGAGTTGGAATGTGCTTGAAGGAACTCGGCGAGTAGCCGAGGGTACTCGGCGAGTTGAGGTCAACATGGACTGTTGACCTTGACTGAGGACTTTGACTTTGACCAGGGGTTAACTAGTTGGTTTATGGAGTACTTTGTAAGGATGAGGACTTATGAGTATATTCATACCATGGTAATAGGTGGTGGAGTCCTTGGCAAGTGATCGGAGAGTTGGGATTTATCTACCGAGTTGACATCTACGAGGTGAGTTATCCTCACTATACTAAGGGGTCTAAGGCACCAAGGACGACCCATTTGATATGTTACCTTGAGTTGTGTTAGATGCTGAGAATGACCTAGTGTTGCATGCTAGTGGTTATGCCTGTTAGGTAGGTCTGTAGGACTACCTGTGATGTTATATGATTATTGCATGCTCAATTCTTATGATTTGTGTGTTTGTTATATGGGATGGGTTGAGGTTGTACTGCTTCGTGCGGTAGCCAACAAACCCTAGGAGCATTCCAGTTACGGGCTGAGGGAGACCCGTACTGTGGGCTCGGGGGCATTCCAGCTACGGGCTAAGGGAGACTCGTACTGTGGGCTCGTGGGCATTGCAGTCTGTAGGGCTGTGGACCCGTTATGTACTATTCTGTTCAGTTCATTATGATATGCTATGGTTGACATGGTTATGTGGACTGTATGTGTATCGGTATTTTGGGGGTAACTCACTAAGCTTTCGGGCTTACAGTTTCAGTTTATTGTTTCAGGTACATCAAGGGATCGCGGCAAGGCAAAGGCGTGATCGTACAGCTCCTCCTATCGTGTTTATGTTTCTGGGAAAACTCTGATAATTAGTATTTTGAAAACAAAGTTGTAATGTTTTGATGAACTTGACATGTCTTTTTAAAGTTTAAATTGGTTTGAAATTTTGGGTGTTACAAGTTGGTATCAGAGCCTTGGTTTGAGTGAATTGGAGGAACATTCGTGTGAATCCAGTCTCAAATCAAGGAAGGATTTTTAAAAATGGTTTAAATGGTTTTCAAAATAAGTAAAGGAGGATGCATGATGCACGATCAGCCGGAGCCAGTAAGTAGACCCCAAAATATCGTACAATTATTCGATTATGTGATATGTTAGAACAGCATGCTAGTACTAGGCTAGGGATCTTCAGGAATTGCATGATAGAATTGCCTGATTATACGATGCCTGCTAGCCTAGGGTTTCCTTTGTATGAAATTGACATCATTACTGTAGTATTTAGTGTATGCAACATGGTTATACATAATTAAGATCTTATAGTCTGAGAATGTTTGATTTAGCCTTATGTTCTGTTCTTGTTTGATTGGGAGCTTAGGGTAGGATTGGATATTCTAAAGTCTATGGGGTCCAGTATTGTGTATGGCTAGCATACACTGGTGCTGCAGGGTTGGTGGAAGTTTCGTGGGTGGATAGGTTGTTTAGGATGAGTCCGCCGACTTCGAGGCATTTAGCCTTCCTTTAGGAGTGAGGCTTGAGTGATCGTGTGTATTGTTAGGGCGTTGTGATGATACTTGGGACAAATATGGGTAGGTGTGGAAGGTAGTATGGGCCCGTACTACTGAAAGCACAGGACCCATACGCGTAGCAAGGAAGTCACAACCCCTAGGGGTTTTTTCGGGGGTTGGCTCCCAGTTGTTTGTATGAGTTATCTGATACCTTGTGTTATGTTTCAGAATGGTGATGACCAGGCTCTTTGTGACTGGATCCGGTTCGGGATCAGGATCAGGATCAGGAGAGGGCGGACAGGGGACGCTGACATCGCCCGAGACTATCGGCCAAATGAGGCCAGAGGAGATGGATGACAGGATCCGAGAGATCCTGCACGATGAGGTTGCTGTGTTGTTCCGGGCCGAATTGCCGGAAATGTTTGGGTCGATTAGGACCGCCATGGTGGAGTATTTTTATGAGCGCTACGCAGCCCTTGCAGAGACAGCCGCCGCAGCAGCTGCATCAGCTGTATCCGCGGCAGGGGGAGGAGTTGGTAGGGGTTTTCAGTACAGGGACTTCGATAACACGAAGCCCCCTACTTTTGATGGGACGCAGGATCCTATCAAGGCTATGAGGTGGATCTCAGATGTGGAGGGGTGTTTCTTCACCTGCTCGTGTCCTGCTGACCAGAAGGTCAAGTGTGCTCTGAACCTGCTTAGGTCCGAGGCCAAGGACTGGTGGAGACTTACGACTGGGTCGTACACTGATGATCAGAGAGCTGCTGTTACTTGGGAGCAGTTCAGGGATATGTTCCGCGCCCGTTACATTCCACGGGTTGAGCGGGAACGTTTGGCACAGGAGTTTTTGAGTTTGAGACAGGATGGGGAGTCGGTGACGGAGATCACCCGTATGTTCACTGAGCGGGCGATGTTCTGCCCAGAGTTTGCTTCCGAGCAGTCTCAGATGACCCGTTATCTGAGTATGCTCAAGACTGATATCCGACAGTTTGTATCTACCCAGCGATGTGATACTCTTCTGGAGTTGCAGGAGGCCGCCAGACGGCAGGAGTTGGAGATTGAGCTGCAGCTGAGGGAGCAGGGCCGGCCCCGGCACAGTCGTAGCCGGCGCCGAAGCGGTCTAAGACCGCTGATGCTAGGACCGGGGGTCAGCAGAGCCGCTATTGTGGGAAGTGCGGCAGGGTTCATTCTGGGATTTGTCGAGCCAGTAGTGGGTGCCACAGGTGTGGCAAGGAGGGGCACTATGCGAAGGATTGTCGCCAGGCCGCTCCGATACCGAGTACGAAGTTATGTTACCATTGTGATCAGGTTGGCCATTTCAAGGCCAACTGCCCGTTACTCACCGCCAAGCCGGTGCAGGCCGCAGCGCCGACTACTTTGGGGATCACGGATAGGAGACCAGTCAGGGCAGAGCCTCCGAAGGCTCAGGGTCGTGCTTTCCAGCTTACGGCGGAGGAGGCCAGAGCAGCACCAGATGTGGTTGCTGGTATGTTTCTATCCTCATCTCGTTTTTCTTTATCTGTTGTATGCTTATCTGTTGTACCTACAATTAGGTACGTTTTTGGTGAACTCTTTGCCTGCTTTGGTCTTATTTGACTCGGGGGCGAGTCGGTCCTTCGTATCTCAGTCTTTTAGTAGGGAGTTCAGTGCGCCAGTGGGCGAGTTAGAGTGTCCGTTGCGAGTGTCTATCGCCAACGAACACGGGGTTTCTGCTTCCTCAGTTTATCGAGGGTGTGACTTGGAGATTTTCGGGGTGTCCTTTCCGATAGATTTGATTCCGATCCCCATGGGGGAGGTGTGCGTGATTGTGGGCATGGATTGGCTCAGTCGGTTCGGTGCTATGATTGATTGCGAGGGCCAGCGAGTGGTAGTTCGAACCCCAAGTGGGGGAGAACTGGTTGTATAT